AAGAGCGTCAGAGGTGAATTGACTGCAACTCCTGTTCCCTGTGCTGCTGGGGGGGGGAAGGTGGAGAAATTGTGAGCAAAGCGATTTGAGCCCGGGAAGAGGGGAGGGGTGGGGAAAGGTGTTGTAAGACATGGTTGTTATGTCCAGTTAGATGATTTGCAATGAATTAAATTGATTTTTCTTCTCCAAGTTTGAGTCTGTTTTGCCCATGACCATAACTGGTGAGTGAGCCATCCCTGTCCTTCATTCCTAACCCTGTGCCCCCTTTGTTGTGTCTCCCATCCCATCTCACTGGGTGGGGGGAGCAAGTACAGGACCGCATGGTCCCACTGTGGGTCAAATCACCACAAGTACGCGCCTTGAATTCCTGCAAGGTTTGTGCAATGGCTTTTGCAAATGTTGCTTGAGTCACCCATAGATCTACTGGACTGGTTCTGTTCACATCTCAAAATAAACATGTTATGCTCTCCTACTGATAGTGCCATGCAAATTTCTGCTACTGGTAAACAAACCTGCTATTCTACATTTCAGAAACTTGGAAGACTTGATGGGGGACCACAGCTGCACTTTGCTTCTAAGGAACAGCCACTGTTTTAAAAGTTTATAAACCCAGGATCAATCTGTAAGACAACAGCATGCTGAACGCAGAATGAGAGAGCATCATTATAGCAGCAGAATTCTCAACAGTGCGAGGAGCAGTCTTCGCACAACTCCAGCGGCTACACCACTGTACATTACAGAGCAGCAAAGGAGCAGGTTTAAGCAAGTTTCTGGGAAACTCTTTCTGTTCAGAATGGGAGAATGGTAACACATGCAAAAGTATTTGTTGGAATATTTTTTAAATGACTGATTAGGACTGGAACAAAAAAGATTCGATCTCGTTATCATATCAGGTTAGATGATGCAGGTCCTTAAAGCAGACAAACCATTTGGTTCCATGTGGTAAGAAAGTGAAAGCCACTGGACAGATGCACACAAGGCAAAAGCAAGAAGCTACGAAAATTATCTTTACGGAATCATTTTTGTGGATGACTATTGATCTGCTGCTTGGCATTTGTCAAGATCACAGAAAGCAATGGCAATATTGTACACAGCTTGAAGGCATGGATCTAAGATTTCTTAAGCCAAGGAATAATTTTTTCTATTATTTTAAAAACTCAGAATTCTTAAGCCATTCCAGCCTGCTTCATATATTACAAAAATTTTCAGCAAGAATTGCAATCTCGGGTCAAACTTGTAAATACATAAATTATAAGGAGGTGGTAATTTCTGTAAAGCTTTAATGCAAATCAGATGACAAATCTGATGATTAAAGGGAAGTGAAGGGAAGGAAATAATGGTTTAAGAGAAATTAAGTTACAAATTATTATGTTAAAACTAACAATTTTGGCCACAGCTAAATTAAATAATTTATTAAGACATAGTACAAGCTTTTTAAAAAAAGCCTTTAGAAAACAAACAAAAGCTTAAAAAAAATTTTTAAACAAAAGCTTTTTTTTAAAAAGAGCAGTACTCTACTTGACAAGAATCCTTTCCTTTTCTGATCAAAGAACCAATAATGGTTCTTAATAAGCCTCTTAAAAGGGTTACAAATTACCTGTCTGGAGAGGATATATAAACAAATTGGACCTTAACAGTAAAATTGGTTCTATTTGTTTTGCTATTTAAGGTCAGTGAAAACTCAGCAAATAAACCACCTATGAAATACAAGTTTTGAAAGTTATATTAATGCTACTATTTTAATAAAGGGAGAGATATTTCAATGATTCTTTTATAAGTGGTTTCATTCATCAATGAAAAGAAATTGCTTAACAAGTAAAATAATGAAAAAATCACTGTTTTCCTAAGGCATAGAGATGCACATATAAGATATTATGCTAGTGAAATTCTTTACTCAGGAGTCAAAGGGGAAGAAATATTAGTTGTAAATATTAGCAACATTTATCTCCAATCCTGTTAAAACTTCACATTTTACAAGTGTATTTCTTTTCTTTTTTTTTTTTTTTGAAACCAAAATGTACCAGCTCTGACCAAAATAATCTGAAATGGCATTTTCCCCCCAATTTATTTTGTGTAATGGATGTTCAGAATGCTCACACTGATTTACTTCTAAAAATATCTTTTATCGGTGCATACTTTCTGCTGTCCAATGCCTCTGTAGCTTTGCAGCCTTTAAAGATATCTCAGGAAAATTTAGGAAATTTCAAAATTTCACTTAGAGAGACATGATTCCTTCATTTTTTATCTCACCTCTAGTTCTGTCAGACTCTTCTGAAAAAGCAAAAAGGTCAAACATCTGATAATTTAACTTACAACATGTTCCCCTTCATCACATTACATCAGACTGAGGGAAAATTTACTTCATCTACAGTACTATTAATGTAATTAGTATATTATGTCCTCTGGATCAAATTTTGTCCTCAATTCCACCAATGAATCTAGACAGACTTACTGTTTTATTAAGGGCATAATTTGGAACAGTTAGCTATTGCTCCTTTTACATGTATTTAAGAAGAGAAAGGCATTTTAAAACTGTATATTATCTGAAATTTTTGAAAGATATGTACTGTCCTTACCAATTCTTCTCATTTTGTATTTATGTACCAAAATCAGATGCTTAGTAATGAACAGTCTAGATACATACTTAAAAGAGGAAAGACAATGCTGTTTCCAAGTACTGCCTCTTACAGGAATTGTAGTTAAAATACAGTTGGGCAGCCATGCATGCTTTTCTTCAGGACTTAAGCCCCCAACTCTTTAGCTTCAGAACTTTGTCATGGGAGTGCAATTTCGTGGATATATCAGAGTCATCCTAAACAGGACTCTGAGTAACAGGCAGTTTGAACACTCACCTCATTTTCTGTGTATGATGTCCCCTTACAGAATAGTTATAATATATTCCTCAGAACTTTTAATAGCTAACTCCTCCAACGGCATGAAGACAGAAACAGTTCCCAACTCAACCCCACATATATACCCAGTGAGTAAAAGCCCTTGAAAGACACTAGGTAAAGCCTCTCAACTCAGTATAGCCTTATCTGATTTATAATCCAAATGTATTCCTCTTGAATAAGCTAAACAAGGCAAGAAATGGATTTATAACTGAGAGTCTATCAGGCACTACATTTTGAAATGCAGATCAAGAGACTTAAGGGCTCTAAACCCATTTTATAATGATGATGGGTCATATAAGCACAAGAGCACCAAATGGCAAATATTAATTCTTACAGATTTATGTTTGCTCATGAAAATGAGTTTAAGTAAAAAATGTAATAACTAAAAAGAATGCCACAAACTATTAGAAGGTATAGTTCTCTTTGTAAAAACATACTACGAGGAAAAAGACTTCAGGCAATAACATGCAGTGGAATAATTAGAAAAAGAAAGTAGGCCATCTTACAAAAATCATACCATTTAATCAGGCCATGAAAGCAATGCAAAGGGAGTAGCAGAACACTGCAAGTTGTTGAGTCAGATCTTTTAATTTCAGTAAGAGGCACAAAGAACAAAGAAGGATTAGATTCTATCATAGTATCACACTGATGGCATACATATGAAGAAAGTAGGGCATTTACACACACTTTCTCACTTTGATGCTAAAATTTTAATACTGTTTCACGATGTAAAGCTATGTGTGAAAAAGTATCTCTTCGCTGATTACCAAAGTGTCCAAGTGCAATTACTGTCTTCCCTACTGAGCTTGTCACACCCTAGTGAAGAACAAAAATATTTATTTTATGGGTAAATTTCTTAATTCAAGGTGTCAACTAACACATTAAAAACCTTTTCCCATATTTCTGCCACATCCACATTCAGATAAACTATGCTTTGCTTTATGCAGAATAAATAAACCCATTCTTCTCCCATGTGTTCTGGGACTGCAATGTTTAGAGATACAGGGGAGGGAAAAGGAAGCGAAGAAAGCAGTGCTCTGGTATAGCAACAAAATCTAGACAGACAGGCTGAAAGCTTAAAACTAAGGTGCTCAGATGTGTGCTTAGCTCTAAGACAGTCTGGATCCACCCCAGGGCTAGAGTAACACAGGCCTAAGGCTGCTGGAAAGTGCTATACTATGGTATGTATGACTTGAAAACAAAAAATTTGTTTGAATTAAAGTTATGAACATATTTTAAACTGAAGGACAAAAAGGTTCTGAAGTTTTCCACTGTTGCTAATAAGAAACATAGGAGGGAGGTGGCAGAATCAGCTGCAAGACAATGAGGAGTGTTTTACAGCTTTTGCCTCCAGAAAGTGTTTCAAAAGTGAAAACTTGAAAAATCAAAACAGCTTTATGAGTAAAGTGATCTTTTTCATAATAGTTGAAAAGTAGCTACATAAAAGCTATCACAACTTTAGGCCTCACTTCAGTCACTGGAGAGTCCAAAACATAAAGGAAATCTTCAGTCAGTTGTTCTGTTCAGTTCAAAACACATGAACCCTTTAGCTTACGAGAACACAAAGCAAGACTGTATATTCCACATGATTCAGCCTAGGAAGATACTGTTCTGTCTTCTACAGTAGGGATGTTCTAAGTCATGATCTGCACACTGAAGTTATCTGACAAACCAGAGCAAGGATCTGAGCAAGCCATCTAATTAGAACAGGCTACACTTAATAGGGAGTCTGGTAAACTTCTCCCTGTGAGACAGCTACTACGAGAACTTCTCCCTGTAAGACAGTATGAAGACACGGTGATAAACAGCTAACATCAGGAAGTTCAGAAATTTATTTTGGATTGTTAGAAAAGCATTTGCAAATTATCAAAACTTATTTTTCTTTATGTGATTTCACATATATTTTCTTTTGACTTGTATAATTACAATGCTTAATACTTCTGTGTTGACTTCGTGGCTACAAAAGAATAATGCAAACAGAAAAAGACAGAACCAGACATTTCTGGCTTGGCTTGAAATGAGACAAGTCTGACTGAGTTCTCTTTTTATCTACATGTGTCTAGCTTCCAAAATTAGAAGAGATCAAGTTGGTGCAGTTTACATCACCATTTTTGTAAATTCAGCATTGAATGATATAGTTTAGTTGATTACATAACAACGTAACAATATTTTTCTTTTATGGAAAGACTACAAATGTAAAAGCTTTCAGAGCTCACAAACTTTATCAAAAAATGACTCCTGAAGAAAGGTCAGTATACAAACATCAATGTCCAGGGACACTTGTTTTACCTTCTTATGTCAACCATGCTCTTAAACATTGAAATCAACATGTATGCAGCCACGAAGAACATTCAAATGCTTTATTTTTTTCACCTTACTTTTGTAAGTATGTGTTAAAAGACTTGCAGGGGACAGTGCTGGTGAGTTTGATGAATAACTTAAAATTGGTCCTCAAGAAAGACAAAAACCCCCTAAATATTAAATAATCTTCCTACTCTGTAAAACTGTATTCAAAATACTGGATACCAGTGTGCTTTGTCCTCTGAGCTCATTTACTTTCATATTGTTCTGTTTTTTTTAATAATATTCTGCTATTTTTTTAAATAAAAATACAATATACATCCTATGCTTTAAGTCAAATGAATGAAGTACCCTACTTCAGGGTCTGTTCTAGCAAAGAATCTGTAAATTTTGTCTTCATTTTTATTGCCCATTTTTGTGGCTCTGCGACATAACACTAGCTGCACATATAGCTGCACTAAGAATATTTCTCTATATTCAACTGTATGCCCTTTCAACACAAAATAGGTAGTTTTTTTTTAATTCTCCATAGAGCAGACCATCTTTGCCATATTTGAAGATTGATCCTCTCCTCCCTTGATCCCTGTAGTGCTTCTCACTCCACTGGGTACAGTTGTGTACAACTGCTGGTAAACACATTCGTAAAACACCTGGGACTGGAAAAGTGAAATTATTTTTTTCTTTAAAACTGGTAGGTTTTGCTGACGCTTGCTTACCTCATTGTCTGATTCCACAAGCACTTGATCATATTCACTAAGAGCTACTAGGAACATGATAGATGTGACGTTTTCAAAGCAATGTATCCATTTTCTTCTTTCTGATCGCTGGCCTCCTACATCCACCATTCTGCAAAATTAACATCCACATCAACTCCATGAACATCTCAACAGATAAACACACAAGCACACACACAATGACAAAATTCAACAATTCAGTTGAAAACACAGTTTGGTTTGTTTTTCTTAATGATTTTTTCCATTGATATTTAATGGACTCTGTTGTAAGCAGACAGTTAATTGCGTTTGCTTTTAAGTCTGATGTGTTTTCTGTATTTAAATTACTGTGGGTCCCAAACCCCTCATATTTCCAAGATACAAAGGTCTCATAAGCTATGATGCAGCAATGAATGCCCTGTGTATTCAAAAGAAACAGATGTGAACAGAATGGACTTGGTGGTCTGCCTTCCCCCCCCACCAAGTTACCATAGTCAAAATACTCAACTTGCTAAAGCCACCTGCTTTTAAGAGGACAAAGAGAATACAATATGTATCTACTAAAATTCTGAATAGCCAAAATTAAAACTCAAATTTGCTCACAGTGTATTCCCACTTCATCCTGTGTCTCAGAGTAACTAAACATAGGTTCCTAACTTGCAACTCCAATTGCACAGTTATTTTTTAACCAACTGTATTTGCACTCAAGCAGGGCAACTTCTCTCTAAAGGAGAGTAATTTCTCTCTAAAAATCAACCACACAAGTGGTAACTTTGTATTCCATAATTTATATGAATTATGAGGACACATGATTGTATTTTCAGATTATTATTCATAGAGAAATTCTGATATATATTATTTAAAAAGTGACTTGCAGGTTTTCTGTCACTAATAACTACTTTCAGAAAAGAAGAAATCTAATTGTCTTTCATGTTTTTGACATCCTTAACATCAGCTCGTTATTATATTTGGACAGTTGCATGAAAATACAATCACCAAGCTCAAATTTAAAAAACATGGAATAGTTGCTTTTTATGCACTTTTAACCATTATCCAATACATGGTATTACTAATGTAAAAGGAAACAAAAGAAAAAAGGAAGTGGGTGTTAATTCTTTTTTTCTACCTGAAAATGACGCTTTGTAAGTCGAATGGGTATTCAATGATCCCCGTTGTTGGGACTCGAACTCTGAGCACATCTTGCTGAGTTGGCAGATAGGTGGCATCTGCTATGCGGTCCAAGTCATTAAGATAGCTACAGACAGGGAGAAACAACAGGAATGCAAGACAGTGACACCATCATCCCACTGAGGAAAAGAGAAAGGAAGACTTGGGAATGGAAATGGGCTGTGGGGTAGGAAGAAGTAGAACAGAAAAAACAGCGTAACTGGCATAAAAGAGGGGACAAAATATAAAAATGTGCTCCACCTTCCCTTCGTGCACACTTCCATAGCTTAAAGTAAATTCTGCAGAAGGGTAGCATAGCATTTTTTCATACAGGTTTGCTTGGCTTTAACAAGTAAATTCACCAAAGATTCAGAGTTTTCAGTTACATAATTCTAGACAATTTAAAGACAAATAATACTATAAAATTTATATAAACATAAAACAGCAGAGTTTTATTTGAATACATATTTCTTGATAATTCTACAGTGTCTACACAGACACATGGACAGACAAACATGAATCTCACGAGGAACAATGAACTACTATAGAATAGATAATAGCAGGATAAATGGTACTGTTTGGGGATTAAATAAAAAAAAAATAAAAAGGAAAAAACCCACCCACTGACAAATTAAAAAACTCTCCTGATCCTTATTATCAGAAGGCAACACTCATTATTTAGTGGGATCTCTGGCACCTGGAAGTCGTGTATTCACACTGCAATTTCTGATCAAGTTAATAAGCCTGTAATCATGAAATACACTCCAGTCAGTTAGCAAATAACCCAAAATTGCTATAATATTGCTTGTAAAGGTTCACTGACTACAACACTAGACTCTTCTGCTATTGCTTAATGATGAGTTTCAACTACCAGTGCACTGGAGGTTTCAATCAATTCTCATAAAAGAGATGCTTCAAAAAAGAAGTGTACCAATATGTATGCGATAGCCCGTTTGGGTCCAGGAGCTGGGTGTCTCATGGAATCAGTGCACCAGGCAGCTTGGGTTCTCCCCATGACAGACATCTTGGAGAAAGACTGCTGCAGGAGATTAAGTTCTTGGGCATTTGGTTACTTCCCAGCACAAGAACAACCTAGAGTTAGCCACTGAGAAGGTAAGTTACGGATGCCCTCATTCGTTCCAGAAAAGAAGACCAATGGTCTTGTAATTTATTCAGTGATGATGAAATATCACTAAACTCTGAACATGTTATTTTCCTTGCAGTTACTAATAGAGGTGCTCTTTTAAATAGACCTATCCAAGAAATAATTAGATGACTCCTGGATGCTTTGAATGATTTATTAATGAAATAGTGAGAGACATAAAGTTATCCTGGACAATGAGAAAAACAAAACAGTTTGATTTCTCTACCTTACAGCAAAAATACAGAAGAATTAATTTGTTAGGTCTGACAAGGAGGCAAAAACATTATCAAATCTCCCTCACTATGATTTTATCAATGAAAGATTAATCCAATAGTAAACACTGAATGTGAGAAAGTTACGCATAGTTAGAAAGATCTATTAAACCATATATCTCAGATAATTCAGAAGCTACTACTCTGAAAAGATATTCTGAGAACACTGATTACTTTCTGTCAATAAGAAAAAGGCTTGAGAGTCTGATCATTTCATCTGCCCTCAGGTGTTCTACACAAAAAGCAGAATGGAGAAGCACATCATCAATTTGTTGGTGGGGAAAAAAAAAAGTATAAGTGAATAAAATAACCACCACAATAAGAAACTGACAGGGACCTTAACTAGCTTCTTTTCCTTTGAGCCAGCAATGTGCGCTTGCAGCCCAGAAGGCCAATAACCGTATCCTGGGCTGCATCAAGAGAAGCGTGGCCAGCAGGTCGAGGGAGGTGATTCTGCCCCTCTACTCCGCCCTCGTAAGGCCCCACATGGAGTGCTGTGTCCAGTTCTGGAGCCCCCATCACAAGAGAGACATGGACCTGTTAGAACAAGTCCAGAGGAGGTCACGAGGATGATCCAAGGGCTGGAGCACCTCTCCTATGAGGACAGGCTGAGAGAGTTGGGGCTGTTCAGCCTGGAGAAGAGAAGGCTCTGGGGAGATCTTATAGCTGCCTTCCAGTATCTGAAGGGACCTACAAGAAAGCTGGGGACGGACTTTTCGTAAGGGCAACTAATGACAAGACAAGGGGAAATGGGTTTAAACTGGCAGAGGGCAGGTTCAGATTAGATATTAGGAAGAAATTCTTCACTGTGAGAGTGGTCAGACACTGGAACAGGTTGTCCAGGGAAGTTGTTGATGCTCCCTCCCTGAAAGTGTTTAAGGCCAGGTTGGATGGGGCTTTGAGTAACCTGGTCTAGTGGAAGGTGTCCCTGCTGATGGCAGGGGGGTTGGAACTAGATGATCTTTAAGGTCCCTTCCAACCCAAACCATTCTATGATTCTATGTTTCTCTCCCACCCCCCAAAAAACTGAGTTTCGTTTTTCTTCATGACTGTATTTTGGAACAGCACAAAGAAGCATTGTGGGTCATTACATGCTATAGTGCTATTCATGAAAGCAGGAGAATTTTGACTGAATACACTGTTAGGTGGCCCATTCACACAATCCTCTTGTTGCATTCCTTTGGCAAGCTTCAGCTGTGGTCTCCAGTGTGAGCCTGGTTACTGCACTTCTGCACCATCAACACAGTGGACATGTTACTAACATATGCTGTAATGCAGATCTTAGAAAGACAATAATGCAAAGGGATATTATTCAATAGTTAAATCTCATTTGTGTTACTGGAAACCATTAAACAGGCAGATGAGTATATTTTTTGTCCTAACACAAATCACTAATGTCATTAAGTTCTAAGCATTAATTTATCCTTAAAAAATACTTATCTTTTCCTCATTCCCATTCAAGTTCTCCTCATTCAATTATTCAACAGCAACCTTCTCACTCATTTCACCCTTAGCACCTCACAGAGCCTATACAGTCCACAGAAGAGTGCTTATGCATCCTGATGGAATCCTATTTCTTTCTCTAGATTTCTTCACTTAACAGATCAAATGATGCTGGGCTCTCTAGGTGTCCTAAATTATACATTCAAACCCAGAATCAAGGAAGCAGTGTCAAAACCAGTAAGAGTACTTAACAGGAAAAAAAACAAACCAAAAACAGATAGCACACACAAAATCCCTTAAAAAGAAAATCTTTGTGATACTGACAAATCATAACCAGAATCTACAGTCCAACAAAAGCAAATATGTCCTGCATTTTTTGTTTTTTAATAATGACATTTAGCCCCTACCACTTTTCCTTCTAACCTAAAACTTATTAAACCAACATATTATTGTATCCATTTATTTAAATGAAAACGTCCCAGTTCTTTGATGCACAACCTTATTTTAATACTTCTATTACTTCAATTTTCATGCTGTTAGCGTACAGCAAATAGTCAATGAAATTCTTTTTAAGCAGAAAAAAAATCTTTTTTCCTTTAAGCTTTGATTATTATTTTTAACACACATTTCTGCTGAAGAATTACTTGCACTAGAATTCAGATTTTGATTAAGTTTGTGCATTGCTGCTCTGAAGCAAAGGAGTAGATAAATTCTGCTGTTGAGTTTAACAGTTCTGTGTATCATTTACACTTCCTGTTACCCTATGATGACATGTAACTTCATATTTTGCTATCAAATTCAGGGGGATTAAACATGTTTCTGAAAATCATTTTGAAAGCTTTGCCTGCAGCAGTAACACTAAGTTCCTTTCAAGATACTCTAAAATCACTAAAAACTCCTTAAGTCTCTCTTAAAATTCATGTAACATCTAAAACAAAGTAACACAATTGATTAAAAAAATCTCTTATCTTTGGGGTAAGAATATGTATCATTGCAACTGACATCAAGGTCTTTCTTTTTCACTGTACCCACTGCTTTATACCATATCTGAAGATTTTTGATATATTGCAGAAAGTAACATCTTCAGTTGGGTGCAATCCTCCTAAAATGGCAGTGGGAGAAAATCAACACATCTATGCTTAATACATTCTCATGACTTTTGTAGTGACTGCATAACACTATACTTTTATGTCCATAGCAGCACACAGACAAGACTCAGTAAGTTTTCTCTTCTTAAAGCACAAGAATAGATTTTTACATTGCATTAGGGGAGGTAGGGTGACAGTCTGTTTTTTCAATGAAAAACTGATTTGTTGGGTTGACTCATTATTTCAAGATTCTGAGAGGGAATACCTAAGTGAATATAGGTGACTATTTACATAAAAAGAAAAGACAATTGAAATTAGTATTTAAAGACATACCACCAACACACACAATCTTCACATATTACTATTACAACTGTTAGCATAACATTGCAAATTTAGAATTTCATTTATTTGGTTTATCATAGTTTAATTCACTGCCACAATAAAGACTTTTATTTTCAAATCTTCCTTATACAAAAAAGGTTGGAAATTTAACTTTTTTTTTTCCCCCCCCACATGAAAGCTAGGGTTTAAAAAATCTCTGATGATCAGGGGAATGCAGCACTGCATACACAGGCTTCATTAAACTTACAGCTTATTAAACTAACAATTTATTTATTTTTAAATTAATTTAGAAAGCAGCAACTTTAAATAAAAACATCAAAACAGGCTAGCTAATGCCAATTCTTTTCCACCTTCAGCTGGCTCAAGCCTCACTCCAGCTACACCTCTGTCCATCCCCGGCTACCAGCTCTTCTGCTTGTGCAACGGCTTGATAACACATTTCTGTCTAAAATAATTTGGAATAGTGAAGAAACACTATTGAAATTGTTCAAATTAAGCTAGTTTATTTCATGGATACAGCTTGGGGTGTGGGAAGTCCATACGCTCCAGCAGGAAAGTGGGGTGGAGTTACTTCCTCAGCTGGCTTATCTGCAACCCGAAGAGGACTTATGAAGCCAGCGCTATGTGAAATGTCTCAAGTTTCTGAATTCAGATGAGTGAGGAGTGAAAGAAAATTAAGATTTTTATTTACTTTTTTGTATTTCTGCTTATTAAAAACCCAATTCACCATGGCTTTGAAGCACTTAACTAACACAGCCCTAAATAATGTACTAACAAATATAATGCTCACCTTAACAAA